ATATTATTATACCAAATTTTATTTAAATATTTTAGTTTTTTAAAAAAGTAGATCAGAGCTAAAAAAGTGCAAAAACGTAGGCAAATTTGCCTGTGTTCTACTACAATCTAAGAGATAGGCATGGCAGCTAGTGTAAAACTCTTGGGCTGACTACTTAAATAGGTAACTAAAAGTTATATATATGGCTAGTTGCACACTTACCTTGTACAAGTTATATGTAATACATTAATCAAAAACACAAATAAAAGCAGTAGCTACCGATAACATCAGCTTTAATAAAAAAAATAAAAAAAAATTATAACTATGTTATAATAACTGTTTTTTATTAATTAGTTAAATTTAAGTATTTGTAATTTTAGAGATACTAAGTTAAAACTTACTTAATATTAAAAATTTGAAATATTTATATAAAATATAATATTATATATATATAGAAAAATGTAAAAGAGAAGGATGATGATCCTAGTGTAGTGGTTAGGTTGTCATCCTCCAAGTGGCAGGTCTAAGGGTCAAATCCCACCTACGACGAAATTTGAAAATTAACTTATGTTATGACAAACTGTCTCTTGACGATCAGTTGGATTCGTGTATCTGTAACCTTAAGTTACACTATCTCGAATAGGAGCTCAAGGCATCTATGCCAAGTGTAACATTATACATATATAGAGGAATGTTAATAACTGATGTCACATAAGACTTCGGTGCAAACCCATGATAAGACCATCAGATGCAGTAAACTAAAGAACCAAAGAGTCGGAAGCCCACTTGAAAATTTCTTAGTAAAGAGGTAGCATAAACTTTCGATAGTACAATCAGACTAATGGAAGCCCATGAAACACCTCCAAAGGGATAGGCAGATAAACCGGATGTCAAGATATGTAGAGGAGCATATGACCAACCAGGCTGCTGGAATCGCTAGAAGAAAAGGATATATAAGTATACCATATCAGGCTATCTGGATTGGAAGTTGGAGGAGTCCTGTCAGTTCTGAGTAGTGGTTAGTAAGAGATAATGGAGAAGATGTCATAATAATAGGTACTGGGGTTCTAGTAAACTTTACAAGAATAGAAATAGTGTAACATAGCAGTTAAACAGTAACCCCTGTAACTGCAAGTATTAGATAACTATAATATGTTGCATAAAACTAGATCAGCTGTGTGTAGGACATAGAAGATTCTAGTAAGTTTTCTGTCGAGGATAAACTAGTTCTAAGGGTACTTGAAGGTATCGGGTACTTTGGATAGGTGTAGCCTTGAAGATGTCACTGTGAGACATGGTGGACTACATATGCAGAGAGTTTAAATAGGCAAGATCTGTAGTTGGCTTGCAGGTATAGCATCTAGTATAGAACCTATATAGTAATATATAGGCAGACTACTTAAATTAGACACCAAAAAGTGCACATATGGCTAGTTGTAACCTCTAATGTAAGAGAGCTCCTGGAGGCACCCGAGTCCAAATATATAAATAAAAACATCAACTTCCATAGACAGGGACTTTAACTCAAAAAAAAAAAAATATATATAAAAAACTAATATTATATAAGATTTTAATACAAAATTATAATAAGACCACCAGATTTAGAAGACTAAGAAACTAAAGAAACAGAAATTTACTTAAAAATTTTAAGTAAAAAAATAATACAAACTTTTAATAATATTATTAAATTAATAAAATATTACTAAAAAGATAATTGAATAAACCAGATAATAAATATATAAGAAAAACATATGTATTAATCAGATTGTCAAAATTACTAAAAAAAAATAATATATAAATATACTAGACTATTTGAATTAGTAGTCTAAAAAATCTTATTAGTTTTGAGTAATGATTAGTAAGAAAAAATAAAGATGATTATAAAAAAATAATATTAGAATTTAGATAAATTTTATAAAAATAAGAGTAGTTTAATAATTAATTTTAACTGCAAGTATTAGTTCTAATCATAATGCAACTAAATAAACTATAAATAAAAATACAAAAAACTTTAAAAGTTTACTTTAAAGATAATTGTTCTAAGGTTAAAATAAGGACCTAAGTATTAAATAACTTAATAAAATCAATACAAAGGTTACAGATTAAAAGATTTAAATAGAACATTCAAACAAGAATATTAGGTATAACAACTAATAAGAAATTTTTAAACAAACTTTTTAAATAAATAATATAAAAAAGTTATATGTGTAATTAATTGTATACTTTTTTGTAATAGTTTAATATAAACATATATCTATATAAACATGTGCTTGACAAAAATGTTAATAAAATTAAAAGATCAAAAAGATTATCTTAATATCAAAATATATATATATATATATATAGTATTATATATTAATAAAAATATAAGCAAGGCCTTACCTTAACACCAAAAAAAAACCCCAATTATAATAATTCATGTGATCAACCAATCTTATACTTTTATGGAACAAATCGACCAATTTCAAATTCGGAAGGTTTGTAAAACAAAGATTGGCTTTCGTCGGTCTGAAACAGTTGGCACGTGACTTATTTGCATTAATTGGCTATTAGGCCAGAGATATATATCAAAACATTTTAGATAACAATCCATCAATTACAGAAATTTACAGAAATCCAAAAATACTTCCGGAAAAAAATCATATTGGTCTAATAATCAATAATATACTTAAAAAAAATGATGTCATGTCATTCTTTGGTAACTTACAGAACATTTTAGAATTTTGAATTTGAGAATTGCAAACTACCAAATAAGCCTTAAAACAGTATCGGAACCTAGGCCTTTTTTGAAAAATTTTCCATTTTGGAGATAACAGTGCATTAAAAGAGAATTGTGTATGTATCTTTTCAATCGTTTCGAACCAGTGCAATTTAACATTTCCAAATAAGTTTAGTTAATGCACTTATGACGAATAATATCCTATCTAAATCATTACACACAGATTTTTATTCTATATTAGGATTAGCAACTATGATCCGCGACTTGGCATATCTATCGCTATCGACATTGTACATGCGTACATACTCATCTTGACAAATGCCACCACCAACGCACGACCAAACATACAATACAGAGGATGTTTCTATAGCAGTATTTACAGCTGCTGCAAACTACCTTCGTGCCCGACTACCTTCTGAGCTCAACAGCCCGAAAGTAGCAATCATATGTGGCTCAGGGCTTGGACAATTAGCTGATACTATTGAAAATAAGGTGGAATTCGCATATGAAGACATACCAGGGTTTGTTTCCAGTACAGGTAAAGCACTGGCATTCTTTGAAAGTTTACCGAATACTTGTTTTTTTAAAAGTTTTTGTCTCTAAAGTACCGGGCCACTTGGGAAAACTTGCTTTTGGACTCATTGGTGATAAAAGAATACCAACGGTTTTCATGGTCGGAAGATTCCATTTTTACGAAGGGCATACGCTCAAGCAAATTACATTTCCTGTAAGAGTTTTTAAGATGTTAGGTGTGGAAATATTGATCGGTAAGTCGTTCACCTATACATCCAAGCATATGTGTTATAATTTCGTCTGCTTATTCGAACATCCTATTTATGATTGCAAATAGTTACAGGCGCGACCGGTGCATTGAGCAGAGAATTCAAAGTTGGCATGATAGGTGTAACAACTGATCACATTTCCCTTCCTGGTTTAGCTGGAAACAACCCTCTATTTGGTCCAAACGTATCTGCTTTCGGTCCTAGATTTCCGCCAATGTCCAACGCGTATGATTATGACCTTCGTGTAATTGCATTTAAAGCTGCTGATTATCTGAGATTTCCCACAGGAACGTTGAAAGAAGCTATATACACTTTCGTCGGGGGTCCTTCATTTGAGACTAGGGCTGAGGCAAGATACCTGAGTTTAATAGGCGGTGATTTAGTAGGAATGTCCACGGTGCCTGAGGTTATCGTGGCAAGGCATTGTGGAATTAAGGTATTGGGTTTAACTTTGGTGTCTAATATGGTAGCTATTGGAAAAGGTAAATGTGCGGATCCGGCAGAGCAGGATTTAAATGGTATAGAGGAGCCATTGGTGAATCATGAGGAGGTACTTCAGACTGGAAAAGAGAGAGCTTTGGATATGCAGAAATTGGTTAAAACTATTATAGACTTAATTCCATCTACCTAACATGTGTTTTAGTATATTAGAAATTAGGGATTTGAATCGGTCTAGTCAACTAATTAGCCGACTAAGCATAGTAATTTACTATATAGATTTTTTGGTCGACTAAACTGATTCCAATCCATATTAGAAATTTGTTTTAAACCTATTTGATTAATATTTGTTTACTTGTATGTTTGACTTTTAATTAAAATTAAAAAAAAAACTAATTACTAACTTTTATAGTGGTTTGCATTTTATCTTGCATCTGGTAGTACGTAACAAAATATATTTGGTTTTTTAACTAATAATGAAAAAGTTTATATATACTATACTGTATATAACTAGTAATGTTAATACGAACGCCATGCTTCATAAATGCACGTACTATGTAAAATCTCTCTAAGGGTATGGTATAGTCTGGTACTAACTTATAAGTGCTCTACATATTTTGCTTTCTATAAATGCATACCCTTTCTAACATTTCAATTTTTTTCATTGTGGCCCTGAGGCAAAAGTTTCAATTTGATATCCCTGCGGTTATTTTTTTGATATAACCAAATTACCTCCTAAATTTGAGTAGTATTCTTGATGCATTTTAGTAGTGTGCAAGTACCCCGCATGTGACAAATAAATTAGATCTATTTTTCAAGTACTATTTATCTATGATGTGACGTATAATATACTTTTTTTTAAATATAAAAAAAATGCATCACACAAGTACCTTGCATAATATAATGCTTGATCGATCGATCTGCATATAAATAAAAAAAATTTTTTTTTCTTTTTAAATAAAATTGTTGAACCAACAAATAAAAATTTACTGTCAATAGTATTTTTATAATATTGCGTCGCTTACACCATTGCTTACGTGTTGCTTATACTGTCACAAGTTGTTGCTTACACTGTTGTTTACACTGTTGCTTACATTGTCTATCACTTATACTGTTACTTACATTGTCTGTCACTTATACTGTCACTTACATTGTCTGTCACTTATACTGTCACTTACACTATCATTACACCTACAGTGTTACTTATATCTCCATTGTGCTTATACTGTTACTTACATTATTATTACATTTACACTGTTACTATACTTATATTGTCATTACACTTATACTATCAATACACTTACACTATTACTTACATTATTATATATATTAATTAAATAATATGATTTTGGAAAATTTAGAAAATTAAATGAAGACAATATTGTTATTGTTCTTTTTGGACATGTAGTTGAATCATATATATTACATTATTCATTTTTAAAAAATATCTAGTTAAAGTCTTAGAATTATTTAAAAACATCTTAACTAATAAAACAAGAATTAATTATATTTTGTTATTTTGAGAGGTGTGTTGATCTAGTGAAGTAGTCAGGTTGTTAATCCCCAAATGGCAAGTCTAGAATTCAAATCTCATGAACAACAAATTTTGAAAAATAGATCTGTGTTATGGTAACTGTCTCTATTAATCAGTTGGATTAGTATATCTGTAATCTTCAGTTGTATTATCTTAAATGGAAGCTCAGGACATCTATATTAAATGTAATGTTATATCCATATAGAGGAATGTTAATAACCAGTATTACATAAGATTTTAGTACAAACTTATAATAATACCATTGGGTACAGAAAGCAAAAGAACTAAAGAGTCGAAAACCTACTTGAAAATTCTAAATAAGAAGATAGTACAAAAACTTTTAACAGTGTTGTCAGATTGATAAAAGCTCATAAAACATCTTTAAAAGGATAGGTAGATAAACTGGATGACAAGATGTATAGAGAAGCACATGACTAACCAAGCTGCTAGAATCACTAGAAGAAAAAGATACTAAGGTATACTATACTGTATTATCTGAATTGGAAGTTTGAAGAGTTTTGTTAGTCCTAAGTAGCAGTTAGTAGAAAATAATGAAGAAGATATCAGAAAGATAGGTACTGGGGTTTTGAGTAAATCTTATAAGAGTAAAAGTAGTTTAATAATTAGCACTGACTACAAGTGATAGTTTAGACCAAAGCAATACTGAGTGAGCTGTAAGTATAGAATACAGAACATACTAGTAAGTTTAGTACAAAGTTAAATATAACTTAGTGACCATGACATATCTTCATCAGTTTACTGAAGTTGTTAGTAGGATGTGGTGAACACAGGATCAAAGTGTTTAAATAGAAGTCTTACAGATGGGTCCTAGGTATAGCAACTAGTATAGAACCTTCAGACAAACTATTTAAATTAGACAATAACTAAAGTTGTACAAGTAACTAGTTGTACACTTTTTTTATGATTGCCTCTGTGTTGTTATATCAACAGATACTAGTCAACTGATACTACCAATAAAATTCTGAATTATATGTACTCATCTTAACATTAAAAAAAAATATATTATTTTGTTATTTTGAAGATATTACTGATTTTATAAAATAAAAGATTAATGAAATATAAAGTTAACTAATCATATTGATGATATTATAAAACTTATAGTCAAGAATTATGAATATTTAGAAGAAATTTAAACTAGTCTTAAGATAAACTTTGTAGCATAATTAAAAATCTATTTGATTAGTTGATAATTATTTGTTTTTTTAATTTATTAATTAATAATTAATTATTTTTGATTGGCTAATAATTTTTTTTTCTTTCTAAACAGTCATGCTAGTACTTTATTGAGTTTTTAAAATTATATTGTAACTATATAAATATTTCTAATATCTAAATCTAGCATTATCTAGTCATCTTAATAGTAACTAAGTGCAACCTGTTGCATTACTTTGAACAGAAATAAGTTACTTGTTTGACTACTTAAAGTCTATAATGAAAAGGTCTTCTCTTTTTTATGACAAGCCTCAAAATTGCCTTTATTATTTCTTTCTTATTTGTTTTTCTTTTTCTCTTATTTCTTTTTTTTTTCAATCAGCCTTTTTTCATTTTTTTGGTTTCTTTAGCTTTCCATCATTTTTCCTTTTACTTTTATCTGTTATTCTATTTTTTTTCTCTCATTCGATAATTTTCTTATAACATATTCTCTATACTTGTTCATAGAATGTGTCTCAGACCATTATTGCTATTATATTTACAAACTGCTACTTTGATTTTATGTTTAATAGTTCTGCTAGTTTGTCTGGTGTTTCTTTTAGAATTAGGTCTTTTATTAGTGCTTCTTTTATTTTAATTTTCTCTGTCTCTGTTTTCTTAAAGAGCACTATATATAGTACATGTAAGAAAATCTGAATTTTTTTTCTTTTAATTTCTTTCATGCTATTGCAATAGTTACTTTTTGAGTTCTCTTCTAGAGATTTTTTTGCCTTTTGCATGCTACCAAGTGTGCTTGCATCTCTTTTACTTTATCTTAGCATACTTGGCATTCCAGTGTTGTATATATATCTGGTCTTTTTTTGTTGAGTTCTTTTAAGATTGGAAATTTATTTATTATGTACTTAATAAATACACTTCTTCTGATACTGCTTCTTTTTGTTATGCAATGTATTTTCTTAGTTGTTTTTAGTCTTTTTTAAAAATCACAGGTCAAATAAATTTATATTAATAAAATATCAAAAAGTCAATATTAAATAAAAGTTAAATGATAGTTTAATGATATTATAATAATATTTAAACCTGATATGTTACTGATATGAAACAAAATTTAGCAGAAATAGAATACCTTTTAGAATTATATCAGACAATTAAAAGAAATCTTTCAGTATTATTTTATTTAACTGATAATTAATATTAGCTAATTGATAACTTAATTGAAATTCTGATATTAATTATATAGAAATAATATCAGTAAGTTTCAAGACACTTATCATAAGCATATTGAAATTCTGATATCATTATCTTTAAAATGATTATTTTTGTTTATTATTATTTTACTGTATTAGACATTACTGAAACATTTTTGATTAAAGCAATAGAACTAAATATATTTATAAATTATTTTATTTAAAAATAATATTACAATTTTAAAAGAAAGCAATAATACAAAAGTTATATACAATTTTAAACAAATTGATAATGCTAGCAAAAACAAAAATATATTATTTCTAATTTATTGTTTCTTATTCACTATCAGTAATAATAGCAGTTTCTTTAGCTTCTTCTTTATTTGTACTGTTATTATTTATACTGTTATTACTGATATTATCACTGCTACTTGTTGTGGCTTCTTCTTTATGATCTAATTCATCTATTCTATCATCATCATCATCTTTTTCATCATTATCCTTTTCTTCTTCTTCATCATCTCTTTCATCATCATCATTTTCTTCTTCTTCATCTTTATCTTTAGAATAATATAAAATAGATATGATTCAGACAGGAATATTAGCTAGAGGCCTAAAATTAGTGATTTAGCTCATGTTATTGTATTATTGTTTTTTGGTACATTTAATATATGAAATATTTTTACCCACTCGGTCAGTGAGTTGCATAATTTTTTTAACCTAATTTATGTAAAATAAAAAAAATAAAATAATAATTTATAATTAGAATAAGAGAACACTATCAATTTTTATAAGTAATGCATATAGTATATAGATTATGATTAGAATTAGTAGAAATAATATGTAATTACTTACTTACCAGAATCTGTATCATTTATCCTTAACATAGAGTACATGATTATCCTCTTTACCTTTTTTGGATTTGGAATAAATATTTTGTCAATGTTCTGTTAGAGCCTGTTCAATATCAGTTTCTGAAACTTTATCCAAATAGAAGTCATTATCATTAATTATGTATTCAAGATCATCTTTAAACTTGTCTCAACTCATTAAAGAGAAAAGTTCTATAAGTTTATTATTATTAGTATTAACTATATGATTAATACCTCTGATATGTCTTCGTTTTTTCTATAAAATAAATAGATAATTTATAATTAATATCAAAATATCAGTATTTTTATTAAAATAAAAAAAGATTATAGACTTATTTAGTTACTTATCTAACTAAAATAACATTGCAAGTTATATTAAATTGTATTATATTAGTATTATATTAGTAATGTTACTATTAATATATAA